TAAAAAGATGAAGCAAATTCACCACGAACAAAATATCCAAATTTTAAATAAATGAACAACCAGCATTCATCACTTTTTTCTTCTGCCTCAAACTCCAATGTGGCTCAGCAGGACGACTTTTGTATGAAACGTTGGTATTTTGTGTCTGCAGTGATTTTCAAACTGCCGGGCCTGGGACTTAAACTGTGCTCAGTCATGTGGGAGTCCAGCACCTTAACCACCAAGCCACCTGCTGGCCCGCAATAGAAATGTTTTAATGTAGTTTTTTTTTTTTTTCTTTTTTAAATTAAAAGGATGAAACAAATTCACCACGAACAAAATATCCAAATTTTAAATAAATGAACAACCAGCATTCATCACTTTTTTCTTCTGCCTCAAACTCCAGTGTGGCTCAGCAGGACGACTTTTGTATGAAACGTTGGTATTATTTGGGGGCCAGATAGTGGCATGACAGCACAATGTGTTATGTGTCTGCTCTGTGGGGTTGACCCACATGGGAAGGTCGTGAGTTCACACCCACGACCTCCCTGAGTGCACCAGGCCCTTCACTCGCCTTCACGGCTGGCTGAAGGTGGGGGTAGATCCCAGCACTGGGGGCTCACTCTCTGTGTCTCTTACTCATGCAAGAAGTAAATAAAGTAATTTTAGTGTTCTGAGACAAAGCGGAAGGAAAGTGCGGAAGTGAAAGAGCGGAGGAAAGGAAAATTGGGGAAGAAATAGAGGGGTAAGATATTTGTGGGACACAGACATGGTTGATTATCTGTTGATAAGGTTGTGTGTGGTATTCTCAACTGGACTGAACTGAGGTCTATATCCTGCTAGGTAAAGTCTCTTTAAAATCTAAATGATGTGTAGCTCTTGAATGTATAAATAATAATAATAATATAATTTTCTACCTACATAAAAAAGAAAAAAAGAAACTTAAAAAATTAAAATTTTGATATTTCATTCATTATACATTTAAAAAATATTCCTTTGGGTTCTTAAAATACTGGCTGGAGATGTTATTTGTCCCGATCACTGAGTTTTCTGGGCCCCCTTATATTTGCACTAGAGGTGAATGGCGTCTTGCTGCTCCTAGGCCCTTTGCGTTCTGCCCAGACGGGGGCAGAGTGGTTTCTGAGATGGGCCTCAGTTACTAGCTGGCTCTTATTTCCATCCTCCAAACTGAAAAGCAGTTGTTGGACTATTCCTCTAGTTTGTGGCTATTATAGCCAGACGATATTCCTGTGTTGTCACTTGCTTGTCACAGTTAAAGTCATCTTCAGTGCCAAGTCTCAGGGGAGGGGTTAGTTCTCCGGGGAGAGTGAGAAAGAGAGAGAGAGAGCTCTGTACATACCATGGAGAGTCCGACCACTGCCCAGGCCAGGGCCAGAGCAAGTCCAGGGCCAGAGGGTGGTGGGGTGGTTAAGGTGCTGGATTCCCACGTGGCTGACCATGGTTCAAGGTCCAGACATGGTGGCTTGAAAATAATAACAAATAAATAAATAAATGTATGTAAAAAACAAATGTACAAAGAACTGCTGTACTGTTAACTATGACAGCATCACATTCTCCCTCTCTTTCTTTTTCTCTCGTTCTCTTTCTTCCTTTCTTCCTTTTTTTTCCTTTCCTTCTTTTTTCTCTTTTTTCCCTTTCTTTCTCCCTTTCTCCCTTTCTTTCTTTCTTTCTTTCTTTCTTTCTTTCTTTCTTTCTTTCTTTCTTTCTTTCTTTCTTTCTTTCTTTCTTTCTTTTTCCTTTCTTTCCTCTCTCTCTCTCTCCTTTCTCTTTTTCTCTCTGACTGGGCTTGAATTGCCACTAGAAACCAGGAAGACTTCCTTCTAGGATATTCTGGAAGGCTGAGTGAAATCAGTGAACTTGCAGCTAATTCTGAAGGCAGCTGAATGTTCTCTTCTAATCAAAGCAAGGTACCGAAACATGGAAACCCATAGGCATTGACTCTCTTTTTAAAAGTCAATTTATTAAAAATGTGAGTAGCTAGTACCTTCATTTGGTTCAGAATTTTGAGAGTATAAAAATTACCTTACCATAACTTGGGACCAGTAGGTGGAGTGGTGGTTCAGGGTGCTGGACTCCTACATGGTTGACTGCGGTTCAAATCCTCGACCTGACAGCTTGCTCTCTCTCTCTCTCTCACTCTGTCCCTTTCTGGTCAGATTAAAATAGATAAATAAACAAACAAATAAAGTTAAATAAAATAGATTTTTGTTTTTGGAGAGGCTTTTGCTATACAGCGTGTGCACTCACCAGAAAAACAGAGAGACAGAAAGTGAGAAATCACTCCCCAGGGGGAATGGCCACACCAAAATCCCTTCTCCTCCATTCTCCTCTCAGGATCTTGGGCATGCACACACATGCGCCTGGCATGAGTTTAAGCCACTGGGTCTGGGACTTGAATCCCGGTCTACTACATGGGAGTCCAGTGACATAGCCATTGTGCCAACTGCTGGTCCCTAAGATAATTCTAAAAAAAAAAAAAAAAACTAAACCAAACTTACCATAACTTTAATATGTTTGCAAATTCTTTGACATTCTTCTCATCAAAAGATAGTCTAGTTCCCTTCCCCTTGAATCTGGCCTGGCTGTAATGACTGAATTTCTTGGCCATACTTGAAAAGGATATAAATATATATTCTTTCCTTTTGCTTTTTATTATTTTCTTTTTAATTTGCTAAAGGGTGGATGGGATCACTGAAAAGAGGCAGAGAGAGACAGAGAAAGAGGAAGTAAGAAATCACTCCCATGGGGGATGGCTACACCCGAATTCCTTTTCCATTTCTCCTTTGGGAATTTTGGATGTGCATTTCAAGCTACCAGGTCCAGGACTCAAACTGCGCAGTCAGCCATATGGAATCCAGCTGCCTTCACCATGCCATGGGCCATCCCCTTTTCTCTCCTTTTCACATATTGTTTTGTACCCTGATATTTTTTAAGTGTATTTTTTTAATTTCATGAGAATGAGACATACACAAACACATTGATGCATACACACATGCAGAAAGACAAGCACCTTCAATAGGGTCCCGGTGTGATC